AAAAATTTTTTCGATATTTCGAATGGCACTATTCAATACTAAACATGCTATTGAATTTATATGTTCGTCGTGTGATGGTCGAATGGCAGTTGAGTGGTGCCGTTCAACTTGTTTTTATTTGATTTTAATTAATGGCTTTTTTCATAATGTATTAAAATTTATAATCATATTTATTATATATAGTATTATTTATGTATACCAATTATTGTCATCGGATATGTGGAGTTTGCTCGTTTTGGTACTTTCCTTACAAAACTTTACTTTAAGAAACCTGCAATTGGTGCTTGTATATGTCGAATACTTGTTATCGTTATTCTTGTGATTAAACGAACAGAATGTTTCATAGCAAACAGTGAAAGCTACATGAAACACAAAGCAGGTCTTCACAAAAACCATTTTTTTGACACTCTTCATATCTTTTTGACTGGATCATTATGTGCAATTTTGTATAGAGAAATAATTCGTCTTGGATTGTTGCCATTGAGCTTAGAAGAAGAGGATATTCTGACCGATAAATCAAATAGTTGTAATACACCTACAAGACTGAGTTTTATTAAATTAATTATTAGTAAATTACCGAGTCGACATAAGTTTGCAAGATGTTTTTTTGATTTTGGATGTTATTTCTTAGTTCTCTTGAAGTTTTGTTCATTGCCTCATCCAGCTGCAAAAATTTTTGGCTTACCTCACAATATTCATGGACTGTTTTTAGAAAGAACAAAACTTGGTGGTTTGCTCGACGCAATGCTAATTCTTTTTGGTCTCTTCTCCCATAAAGGCTCTTTTGTAAAGGCACTTTCTTGTAATCTTTTACGTTTTTGTGGACAAATTTCATTTAGTATATATTTATTACATCCAATTTCATTGACATTGGTGAACGAATATGTACCCTCTGTTGGATATAAAGCGGCAAAGAATGAACCAAATGGAGATGAGAAAGCTGATTTGATGTTGGATGCGTTGATGATATCATTTGTGACAACAATTATTTTATCATGGATCTACTTTAAATGTGTTGAAAGGCCTTCTATGAATTTAGCTAACTATATTGCGAAGAGATGGTTAAGTGAGGCGAAGTCTGATACTATAAACAAATAATTTATTTTAATG